TTGAGATATGATAGAGGAAACACAGTAATAATTTCCATGACTACGTGGACTTCAACGGACGAAAAATATCCGCCATCTTGTTTTTTTGCTTGCATAGTCCATATCACAAGCCCGCCATTTTTAATGGTTTTGCAATGTATCATGGGATATATATCTCCCTTTTTTCATCAAAACAAATCGCTAAAATCGTAAAAACACTAATTAGTTTCGATTTTTCCACATTTTCTTGCTGTATTTCCTTGCATGTTGATATTTGTTTGTTTTTTCGCTTCTGAGATTAACTACAATATCAATATTTCCCGATGTTTTTCGAAAACTGAGTCTACGTTACAGACAACTGGAGCACTGACATCGTTTTTCATTGTTTACTCATTTATCAATCCCAAAATGCACTGCGTCACAATGCTTTCCGCGGGTTGCGATATGGACTATGCGTCAAACGAAATTCCGAACTTCTCCGAACTGCTTTGGAGAGTCCATCCTCATAGCCGAACAAGTTCCGAACACCATTCGGCAGTTCGTTCTTTAGAAAAAATAGAGGGGTCTCGAAGGCAGTTCGGTAAAGTGCGGAGTTTTGATTGACAAGAGTGAAAGCACAAGATGGTAGTTAGAGTTCGACCATTAGAATTCATACGTTTATGAAAACTGCAGTTATATCATCAACTTACTCAATTTTGCCATGGCTGTTTCGCATATTTCACGAAGCCGACCGATTAAAAGCTGGAAGGAGTAAAAAAATTATCACCGACAATTCAAAATGTAGTCCATTGTCCTGATTTGCTAAGAGCTATAGTAGTCACTCCTCAATGTCTTGAAATCTGCGTCAAGTAACCTGTAGTGTAGTGATTTTGACGCCACGCATCGTCCAACAATATTTAAGGTTATAATTTGCTCGAGCAATAATATAGAACTAATTATTGGACTAAGTTTTRCATGATATGAGGAGTTTTGCAACCTGATAAAACAATAAAACGAACTAAATCTAATGTTACTTACTTGGTCGGCAATGACTAACACATTTCCTATAAATTCAATATTTTGGCTACCTAGAAAGTAGAAGTATTTCTATGAAATTCAACGGGCAAACAAGTAAACACAGCGATAAAACAAATAATCTTGATATTGATGTAAAAGATTAAACTTACTTTTAATAATTTTCGCTTCGTCAGTGTAAATGTAGTCCARAACARCCTGMAAGACACTAGAATGTATCGGCATACTTAGGGTTCTCATTTCTTTACTCGTCTGAAAAAAGAAAAAGAAAAAGAAATATCAACTTGAACTCACTAAAAGAATGAAGACTCTATCTCCTAAAGATTAAAATACTGACGCAATTCATTGATCGTTTTCAACCATTCCCATGGGATTCAAAAGATAAAAGACCAGTGGCCTTGGTGGAGGAATTAACAATAGATACTAGTAAGAAATCCTTTGTTGAAGTTCCTCCAAGATGGCCGCTGTGACGTATAGTGAAAACGAAATATGGAAACAAGTATGGAAATTATGTTCACTAAGACGCAAGTCTAACTAACAWAAGAAAGATTTTGARTAAATGTTTAMGGTACCTCAAGCCATCCACAAGCCAACATGCTACGAAAATAATCTAAAATATAGAAGAAAAAAACATATCACTATAGCATCTACAACTTTATAGCAGCTTAGAGTAAAAGATAAAAAAATAAAGTGGTTAACAATGCTTACCTAAACGCGCTATGAGGACACATTTATGACATAAAAACTCGACGCCATCTTCACACTCAATTGCAACATCTTGAAGCTCTGGGCTAAGAAATGTAAATAATTTGCTTAAAGTATCTGTTCAATTTAGCTATTGTAGGAGATGCATGAGTGGATGTATAAGTAAATTTCTGGCAATGCCCGAGTAAGCGTGCAATTATTGTTTCAAAAACGGCTTATGTTAAGGCTGACGGTCTGTATTTGACTGATGTTCTTATAGTCAGTGCTATTTTCGCAAATATGGAAACTCCAATGCTCCTCCATTTTGTRTATTTGTTCCTGTTTGTCAAAATTCAGARCGTAATTTAACTGCTTCCGAAACTCCCCCCTCGGAGTTTGTTCGGTTTTGACGAGCAGTCTCGAAAGTACATCGGCACCAGTTCGGATTTACTCACCAATTTGTTCGTTTGAACTTAAGTCCTTTGAAAGWACTTTTAGTTTGGTTTYTTAGATCTTTTTTGTTGTTTTTATTTTGCTTTTCAGAGCCTTTTTTCTCTGCCTTTTTCTTGTTCTTTTTAGGAGATGRCGCAGAATGATTGAGYATATTCTGAGTGTCATTTGCTGTYAATGTTGAGAAATCATCYAAATCTGGYARAGAGATYGATTCWARACTTTTCAGTAATGCAGAATAGCTCTCGGATTCGTCGTSAACGGTACTTGTRTGATTGATATTATGGTTRTCGTGGTTTGATTGTGAATGATCCGCTTTGTGGCTTTTCTTMGTCCCAAATACAACTGCGTCGTCAACGTTGTAACCACTGTACAATTCCTGAAACATTGAAAGRTAATTTGATATAATTTATACTGATGATTAAGATGGTGATGATAATAATGATTAATATTTATAAACACGATGCTGGCATTTCTGATTGGCTGTTGTGTTTCATTTGCATACCGAGGCACGGCGAACGACTCCGGCGCGCGCGTCAGTAACTTCATTTTCCCGCCTTTTTTGTCAGCTCAGTTTTCAGTAACGATAATCTCTTTATCAAATTTCCTTCATCTGCAAACCAGTGAACAATATTCCTTGGAAATATTTTGTCGTAAGAAAAATATTGAATTGTATCAAGTCATCACTTTCAAAAGAAATAAATCCAAACAGTCATATCTCTGTGTATCATCACTAAGCTAAAACATGGAGAGCGCGTTACATTGTTTCCAAATATGACCCGCTCATTTGTTTCAATATTTTCGTTTACAACCTTTGCTGTTCAATGATAATTATCAAATTACCTCAACATATTTCATGACATCGTCATAATCAACATTATCAAGAGTGACTGTTGTCACAGCATCGTCATCAACGTCTGGCACCTCACTTTTGTCAATAAGAATATGGTGAAATTTTGCGCTCTTGGTTGCAAGAATGAACTTATGTGCAGGAATGATTCGTCCTTTGACCTGATAGATAAAGCATTTTAATTAATCTAAGTGTTATAGCCGTATTTCACCAATGAAGTAAACAGAAACCGAGATTAACAACGGTGAAGGAAGCGAAATGGAGAGGTTTCTTCTTCTTGTTCTTCTTCCTCTTCGCTTCCTTAACTTTCTTTTTTGGTTCGCTGGTTTTCATACACGCGAAGCATCTTCTTTCGCTGTTTTCTTTTCCGTTTCTGCTCACTTCACAAGTTTAAAGTTAGCTCGTAGTCCACGAGGCCGAGAGGTCTAATTGTTTTAGTGTAAACATACTAATCGGTCAAATAATGAAAACAAATTGAAATGTCCTTAAAATAATTTATTAATGGATGCCGCCATTTTGATTTTCCCGCGAGTGGTCTATCACAAATTAGACCATTAGTAGAGTAACCATTCACAGCGCAGTATGAGTGATAGACCATTAGTATGTTTATACTAATAGTGAATATATCATACATTGTACAGTTGTACAGCCAATAGAATAGCGACTAGGTCACGTGATAGAGTCTACTTATCGTTCTTACAGTCAAAAGACATGAAGCGCGCCCCCTCAAAACACCATTATTCAATTCATTATTCGATTCTTGGTCGATTCAACATTACATTATTGAAATCACATTTGAATTCAAACTTCAAAATTTGCT